ACCAGTTTGGTCTCTTCGAGGTTCGTAAGGAACTTACACACCTAGTAGATGGTGTCAAGAAGTTTTCTCTGCCTGGTAACCTGTCCGCTCCTTTCGGTATCCAGTATCATACGTGTAGTGTAGACACGGAGGTGGGGTTCCAGCTCCGTAGCACTGATGATCCTCAGAGCATGTTTAGTGGGTTCNTGTCGGAGAAAGGGATTACCCGTGTGTTTTTCACAGATGGGTCGGTGTCTCGGAACTCCGGTGGAGGCACAGCGTCCTCTGCGGGCTTCGCAGTGGTGTCGGACAATCCTGACCTTACCCACCATGAGCGTATCGGCAGCCGGTCAGGGGTCTGCGAGGCCGAAGCCAGGGGAATCTTGTGCGCTCTGGAATACGTGGATGAATTTGGGTTCAGTTTAGCAGCGGTTGCGTCGGACTCTCTTGGTGTTATACAAAGTCTGGGGTCCCCTGATCCCAGGGGTTTACAATCTGATACTCTGTATCTAATAAAAGAGTTAGACCTAAAGCTGAGACGGAGTAATGTACACGTGTTGTTTGTGTGGATTCCTGGTCATCGCGGTATANGTGGCAATGACCGTGCGGATAAGTACGCCAAGCTCTCTCTGTCGTTACCGGAACCTGTTGAAAAGCAGGAGGTATCTTCCTTATATCCTATTCTTAAATCTAAAGCGTTGCAGTCGTCTAAGGAACTGTTGTTAGCTGAAGCCCAGCACAAAGGTAGCCGGTACTTCAGGTTTGTTCAGGAACCGCTGTGTAGACCATGGTTCACGAGGTTTAAAAAGAATAAGTATCTCCCCCGCCAGCTAGTTACGCTAGTATCTAGAATCCGTTCTCACCATACGGCGGTTAATGAACATCTACACGACAAATGTATTGTGGATGGCGCCGCTTGCCCGTGTGGTCATCCGATACAGGACATTAACCACCTGTTTCTTTACTGCCCTGAGAATAAAACTGCCACGGACAAACTGCTCCTGGACCTTTTCCATAGTGGCTTTAGCCCACCGTATAACGTAGTGGACATTGCTTTTTCAAGTAATATACAAGCCATGTTTGCTTTGCTCACTTTCACCAGTTCTACCAACATCAGTGTGTGATTTCCTAACTCGCTCAGTATTTCCTCTCCTTCCCCCGTCTTTTCCTCCGGCTTCTGCTCCGTTCCCTCTCCCCTTCACTCCTGTGTACATTACTCCCTATCTCTCCCTCTCCACCTTCTGCTCCAGTCTGAAACCTAGTACGTTTAGTGCAACAGTCCAGCACAGCTCAGTACAGCTCTGTCAAGTTAAATTCCACCAATCGAAGACTGGCGTATGCTCCTTTCTCACCGGGGCAAGAGCCATTACAGCAAAGAAGAAGTACTATAACAAGAGAGAAAGACATGACATAATTGACAATAATATTTTTTCAATCTTCGAAAATTTTGGTGTAGAATTTTATTTTGCTAATTTGATAACCTAAACCATTAATTTTATTAAGTATTATGCCATATAAACTTAAAATAAAAGCAAAGAATATACGAATATATATTCTTCAATTGAAGGTTATGGCCTCTCATTGAAGACCATTATTTATATCTTATTATAAATCTCTATTATTAATTAGGAAAGTCTATAATCTCTGGTTTAGTTTGGTGCAAAAATGGTTCAGTGGACCGAAAGTCTATAATCTCTACTCGCTTAGTCATGAAGCACCAAATTTCATGATTGGCCACTGCATTGAAATTTGAGGTCGGAGATTCGAGACCTGAAAGCTGAAATTTGAGATTGGAGACGAGATCTAAGATTTGATAAGCAACTATGAATTCGGGCCTGAGTAGCGGCGGAGCGATATTTCTTTTGACCGCGCGCGCTTTTTCTTCTTTATGCACGAATATAGTGTTCTATTCTCTCATTGAACCAAGTATAGAATTAAACATACTATAACAAAATATTGCTAGAAAAGTTTGGCAAAATATTGATATTATATGTCTCTAAAACATCTTTGCAATCATAGTTGCAAACTCGAGCCGGCTAGCACCGAGAGCACCGAGGTGTTGGGAGCCACTGGGAACACGCACACAAGCGAGAACCGCCGTCCGTGTGTATGTTCCACGCACACGGACGGCGGTTCTCGCTTGTGTGCGTGTTCCCAGTGGCTCCCAACACCTCGGTGCTCTCGGTGCTAGCCGGCTCGAGTTTGCAACTGTGTTTGCAATATTACATTGCAACTTGCAATGTTGCAACGTTTCTGAAATATTACTGGAAGCTTCGGTAGAAGTATGAGATTCATTCGCCTTTTCATATTTTAATGGAAAACTAAATAAAGATATTGTCCCATATGAAACAATAGCCACCTGTCTGTGTTTTTGCTGTCATATTGCCGAAAACAAAACGCTTGAGTTTTCAGCAAATTTAGAACAAGGTGAGTCAGGCATTTGTCTTTGGTTTGACACGACACGCATTCAACATATGTTGCCGACAACTTGCTGTGTATTTGCCGTCAACGGTTTATCACTAACATAAAGAGCAACATGACAACAAGTTGCCAACAACACGTGTCAAATTTTAGCAAAAATACAATATGTCGAAAACGGACAAATATATATTCAATAACACATCGCTTTGTGAAAGGGGAATTAATTCGAGATTTCACTCAAATTAATCTTTGGAGGTCTGATTTAGTTCGCCGCTCAACTGATTAACTCGATGAAAGGTACCGGACCCGGAAAAAATCCTAAAGTAATGGGATTTGAACTCGAGACTTTCATATTTGCCCTACACTCAGTCCGCGAGACCACTTGTTCCTTACTAAAATATAATGATTTTTGTCTACTTATTCTAAAAGACGGTCATTCGTTTTCGACATTTAATGGGCTACAAGAATAAATATATGTCAACAGTTTTTACCAACCATACAACAGAAGTACAGACATCGGTGTCTTGTTTTGTTACCGTCATGTTGCTCTTATGTTGCCGAAAACGAATGAGAAAGCAAACAGTTTTCTATGAATAAAAGTCATTTTGTTGACACCGTAATGAGCAATAGTTGCTCTTCGTTTGCTCTGAATCTGCTAACACAAAATGTCTCAAATTTGCCTTCGTGTTGTCGATTACGTATGAGTATGCATCATGTGTTTTCAGCAAATACACAGCAACTACTTGAAAACTTCAGCTCAGCATTAAGTTACATCATTTTGCAAAACATGCTTGGCTATCAGGGATGTTTCAAATTACACACACACACACACACACACACACACATTCTTTTAGGTGTAAATTATCTTTTGTAGATAATGTACATTGCTTGATACTCCAGCCGCGTAAATAAATTCGCGTTTTTTATGGCTTCCGCAGAACATGTCAGCGTATTGTGACAAGAAGCAACACAATAACCAACCAGTATTTTATTCTTTTGGAAAAACAACATATTGAGTGGCTATCGCTTCTTTCCGCGAGTACTTTGCTACGGCTGAACTAAGGCCTGTTCTACAATACAGTCGTAAGCTGTAAGTCGTAAGAATTTGACCAATCACAATCAATTATTTTTCTGTGATTTGTCTGTGAGTGGTCAATTTCTTACGACTTACAGCTTACGACTATATTGTAGAACAGGCCTAACCGTGGAACTGTACCACTATACAAACAGCTCTGCTGCGGAATGTGAAAATTAACGATATTAGTAAAACAAAAATATACCAATATAGTGACTAGTCGTTCTAAAACGTCACTTGGCGGGAAGCCACTATAGTGGCGCATAAAACTTAAAGATTTAAAATACTGCTTTATTAAATCGTAAAGTAGTTGCATTAGGATATCTTATTTAGATCAGTTTAAGGAGAATTGCAAGAAAGAAAAATATCCTTGAATTGAACAATTAACGATAAACAGAGAATTTTTTCTCGGGCTCTGAAGTCATTAAACTAAATGAATAATAAATATATACTAGGTCATAAGAGCCGTTCGCAGGATGTTTTGCGGAAATTATCCTTGAATTGCTTAGAAGGAAACTTGACTTAAGCTGAATAATGAAACGGTTAATCAGTTCAGTTAGTAAAGCAGGATTGACATAGCGTTAATATTGGACAAGTACAGTTCACGAAGTTTTCAGCGTCACAAGTACATACACAATAAGTAAACAAAACATACCTTTTATCTTCCTTTACAGAAATTCATTACTGGTGTGGCCAAAGTGGCGACTTATTTTGAATATTATTAAAATCACTGTTAATAGTGCTTTTGTTACTCAGGATAAATGTTGTTTTGCCACATCAATGGTAAATTTCTATAAGGATTCATTTTTATGCGGAGAAAGTACATACATGTATAATAAATATGCATGCAATGCATAATATATATGTATATTCAAAATATAATTTTAACTAATACCGAAGCAGACGTTGTAAGAAATATTTTGTTTAATATCGGTTTTAACAAAAAACAATCAAAATTCGACAATTAATTAAATCCGACTTAATCGTTAAACCACGTATGACAGAAGCAATTCTTTTGCAAGAAGTTTTGCAAAGCTTTTCATTTGCGTGTTTATTTTTTCTTTCTTCTGTTCTTTTTGAAGACATTTTGTAGGATAATGATTTTTTTATTCTTCGAGGTATCAAGGTGTAAGGCACTTACAGCGTTATTGCATCGTATTTGCTCGCTTGTAAACTATATACATACATATAAGACGATTTTCATCGAAGTGGGCGGACGGACAGGAATGGTCGATATTAACTACAAGCACGGGGAACGCGGTGACGATAGTCACATGCTGACCACGGTCGAGTGCACTTGCCGTCTTACTCGCATGTCTTTGTTGCTTCATATATAAGTATAAAAGTAAGTTTTCTTCTCTATTAATTATAATAACTCACCAAAATTGTTTCTTTCAGACACACAAAGTACTACATCTTCATGAATTTCTATAATTACAATTATGTTGCAGTATGTATATTGTATTTATATTTTTTCAGTATTTTGTTCCATGTTTTTTTACACACACTTTTCGTAATACGCAAAAGTTTCTTCTTGAAGTAAAGTTTGCTTTCATTATTTTTATTTAAATTGAGACGAATGTATGAACAATTTTTCAAACTATTACACTTCCTTCTTTTGTAACGTCGTCAAATAAATATTCTTTCACAGAAATGGATGTAATATTAGATGTATAAAATTTTGATAGACATAATTACACAAGCTATAAAAAGATGTTTTGCTACATCTGCTCATTATACTATATTGCTTACCTTCTTTTTATATTAAAACATTTTGATGTATCGTAATTTTACAAAGAAATGTACCGTATCACGCACAGTGTATATAGAGACCTATTATTTCTCTGCATTCATCAATATTTAATAAAGAATTGTGTATAAAGGTTTGTATGTGTACGCGCATATAGCTTAGTTTGTTGATTCTTAAATTATCTCAGTGTTTGCAACTTAAATCGGTGTATTCATTTTGGAAAATGCGGAAAACGCATTTTTTCTGCCGTTGTATTATACAATCGCGTTTCGTGTGTACTACTTTTTTCTTATGTACGTGAATTCATGTCGTGAGAGATTAAATGATAAACACTTTGCGACTTCTCCTTTGCGAGACTTTTTAAAAATACCGGTTTTTCTTTCTGATCGTGTATGTAAATGATTGTGATGTAATGTAATTTGAATCGTATATGTATACATACACATAGCACGATGTACATAGCCGTGCATTATTTCAACTTTAAATATAGACTTTATACGATCACTAATAGTGTCAGAATTATCAAATGCTGACAATATTGATAGTGTATTGTTAATATTGGTGAATTGATGTAGATTATTGATCAGAATTTTTTGATTCGCGAATATTTTTTCATTATCACTGTAGAAATATTAACAGTTGATACTAATTGTGTGAAGAAGATTGTCAGTATTCCAGTCAATATAGTTCTACAACTTCTATAAAAATATTGATGCATAGTGCAAGTTTTCAGTGATCGGGCACAGAGATTGAATGATCTTAGACTTATATTTCATGAGTCCGATCGTCGACAAGTCGACGATCGGATTGACTGACAAGTATGTAACTAATCCAGTTATAATCTAGTAGCGTGAGCCAATCCTTATTATCCGACAATTCGACGATTAGATCAGATAAAATACGAGCTTTATCTCGCGAAATATTTTTTTTTTTATTGAAGTAAAAAATATATGTCACAGGACCTTACCTATATAGCTTATAGTTTGTAACAGAGCAGTATCTCGCGAAATTTGTTTTTGCATTTGAAATTAAGCTCCTTGCACAATGCGAGAAAATAGCGATAGCGATGGACACAGAATTCCAATTCGTCAGAAAGTTTATCGCTATTGCCTATTCCGTTTTCTAATCTGCTTTGATACATATGTATTTTTGAGTGTTAGATTCCGCTGTTCCTACTGTTATTTATAAATATAAACTCTGTAAAACTGGTGTTATTTCTATTGCTGTCGTTATTCCTTCCATTGTACCGAGTATATGTTGTCATATATCGTACTTGATATGTTTTGACTATGAATTTCTTAGTATATATATATAATGTAGTTATCGCGCGACAATCTTATTCAAAAGTTTAATTTTACGCTACAGAAAAGTATTCTCAAAATTCGATTCACATGTCGTACAAATATTTCAGACTCTATTTTGTCAACATGTCATTAGCGTAGAAATAAACAAGTAGTTTTATTACGCTCAAAATCTCTTTAAACAATTTTATTTTTTTTGCCAATGCGGTAAACGTTTAGTACCCTGATAGGAAACCATTTACAAAATTATGTGACAAAATCTTGCACTAAAATTGTAATTTGCAATTATACAGACATTTTTTAGGAAATAGATGTAAAAACATTGATCTTTTCTGAAATATTTGTAGTTGTTTGCAAAATTACTTTCCAAATACTATTTCGGCAAAAGAATAACGATATGGCGAATCATCTTAGCAGTATATTTGCAAAATTAATTTTACAAAGAAATTGTCTAATAATTGAGAAAAAAATTCAGCTATGTGATGTTTCAAATATGTAGAAATATGATTGTATATGAAGAAGCACAAGAAATCGTCGTCACTCATGATGTCATATTTGTGCAATATTTTCACAATTTGCCTATTGGAGGTATATACTGTGAAAATGCATAACGATTTTTTCGCAATTTTTGACAAGTATTATTTACAAAATTTTATTTCGACAAAACTGTTGCGTTATGACGAATCATCTTAGTACAATCATTGCAAAATCGTCGCCATTCATGATGCCATTTTTGTGCAATATTTTCACAAATGTGCCTATTAGGGTAGCGACTGTACACGCTGTACACATCGAACGGGGCAATTTGACAACGTCGCCCACGTCTAACCAAATTTGTCAGTTTGCTCAGCTGTCAAACGAAACTATTAAAATGATTTTTTAATTTCAATACAGATACTAAAAAAACAATTTTAAATACAGATACTCAAAAACAATTTTAAATATGACAGAGGCAAGAAAATTACAAAAAAACGGTGTGTCAAGATCTAAGTACGTTGTGCGAATTACATACATTGTTGCCGCTGTAACTTACCGTTACTTGCCTAACTTATGTCATGTCAAAAAAAATAATCTTTCCACGGCTTTATTTCGACAACTAGATGTCTATGACTTATTACTAGACGGTCAATAATTCTAAACTTTTTTTTATAGTATTATTTTAATCGTAATCTACCGCATTCTAGATTTTTTATCAATATCGCAAATATAGTTTGATAGCTAGAGTTTCAAATGTGCATTTTTGAATGGGTTTACGCATATAATACATGTAAAAAATGTCATTTATAATTGCAATTATCTCAACTTTGGAACTGTCAAACATTTAGAAATTTCATGAGCGCTTGAAAAGCCTTTTGCTTAATGTGTGGTTCAAATTTGAAAGAGTTGGCAAGAAATCGATTCTACGCGATAACTACGTTAACGAGATTTCTTATTTTCGTTTGTGATATGTATCGGTTTGAAAGAAATGTTCGTATACGAGACAACAGATTTGAGTTGTTGTCACTTTGACAGTGACAGTCGTCTTTATATCAATCATAAATTGCTCCTCCGTAGATCGTGCACTTGTAAAGCGTGCCGGAAAGCAAAACAAACGTCAATCATTTGCCGTCAATCGCGGATTCCGGAAAGAAGTACATTCTGATAGAAGTTACAGACCTGTCGCGATCTGTCAATAAACAGCAAGAATATGCATGTTGTATTGCCTTTCTATCAGGGTTTCAATAATATCGAAAAATGATATAATATTTTATGTAATATTAAAACTACACAATTAAATAATATTTAATAATTATGTAATATTTAAACTATGTGCAATTAGATAATATCTCTTTGTCGTTTCTAGCATCTAGCTTTTGACGCATAATCCAATATGCCTGCAGATATAATAAGAGCTACGTAATGCGTCAAATTCGCGATTCATTTAATCGCAAATTTACATTTTCACACGTTTGAATTCTCACCAATCGTCTCGTAACTTTACTACGTCGAACACGTTCTCTGCCAAATATTTTAACCAGCAAAATACAAAGTGTTGCTTCGGCTTTACGTGTCGATCGTTAAATTGACATATGTACTCTTATGTCAGCACGTTCTTTAAAAACCTACTTAACTGCTTAAAAAGAATCTATTTATATTTCTTGCTCTTTCTTACATTATCATCGTTATCATTAACGTATTATATGCAATGTTGCAGATATGAAATAAATAATAATATTTACGAACATTGTGCACAATTTTATGCAATTTTGCTTCAGCCTAGCGAGTTCTCGCGATTTGCGCGCAAGACTATCGATGAGCGATCTTGAGTCAGACTCATAATCGCAACGGATCATGAGGAATAATTGGTCGTTTCTGAGAGACGAGATGTAGGAAAGGATATGCCCAGCTGCTTGTCGTCATCTATGACAGGATCGACAGATGCGGGGCTGTTGCAGCCCCAGGAAGATCCCAAGCAACTTTCTGTATCTTGCTCGTCGTCGACCTTCAATCTCAGACCGGTATCTGAGGATACGAGTTCGTTGCTTCGGCGAGGCAGAAGTCATCGTCAGCCACCGCGACGTAGGATGACATCCGCTCCGCCGCCAGGACAAACGATACAACTAACACCTCTTTGGGAACATGTGGTATGACTTGAAGAACAAATGTATATATACATACAATGTACATTTTTTGTTATACTTAATATATAATTTTCTTACGTAATATTTTTTGTACTTTAGTTTATAGTATCCATATATTTTTATATTTTAAAGTTTTCTTCAAAGATATTTTTAATTTTACTGTAATTTTAAGACACGTTTATGTTTTAGGTGCGTACGCGTAAATTTCCGTCCGAAGTTGACGCGCAAGCTACATTTGTCGAGATCTCTGAGAGACTTCGAGACCCGGAATGGGAGGTGCGTCAGCACGCTCTCCGAGTGTTAGTGGACGTTCTGCCAACGCTGAATGCCGATGTCGACAAGGTCATGCAACCGGTAGTGCCCGAATTGATCAATAATTTAGGACATCCAGCGCCAGCGGTTCGTAAAGGTGCTTTGGACACGCTGCGAGTGTATCTTATTCACAGTCCTAACAGGGACAGCATGGTCAAAAGTGTGAGTAATGTGTGCCTTTTCAAATTTTTTTATCTCTGATTAAATTTAAACTATATATTCTCTGTTTTCCTCTTACATGTTTTTCGTATATATATAGTAAAAACAAATATAAATATCAATTAATAATACTCGATTACTTTAACCTTTTTTCAGATCCTTCACGATGGCTTGAATCGGCCGGATGCTCATAATCCATTTCAGATAAACGTGACGACGGGCGTAATTCTCAGCGCACCTTTGCTGCTTTTTCCGTCCTCCAACAGTCCTCCTCCGACAACGCAGATACTTAAAGATGCCACGATAGCCTTTGCTTCTCGATTGGTCCAGATACCTCATCAAGAGGCTGTTCTTAAGTCTCTTATTAAGATTCGTGACGCAGTTGGCGAAGAGGAATTCGATAACTATTTGGCGGATTATGACGATAAGTTCAAGAAAAATATCGACGTTCTCGCTAAGATCTATAGCATCAAACCGAATAAGAGAAAGCGAGATAAAAGTCACTCGCAAGAGATTGTAAAGACTGACAAAAAGGAGTGCGTTGACAAGTTTTGGGATAGCGACAGCGACACTTCCGGCATTGCCGAAGAAGAAGACGAAGCTTCGAACAGCGGAAGTGGCGCCATGCCGCCAGCGAGAGTCGTTCTTGAAACTGAGATCAAGTTCAACGAAGAAACAGCTATCACAATGACGATTCTCGAAGAGAAGGATGAGGACGATAGCGAAGATAATGAGAGACGAAACACTGAGACTGAAAATAACGCGAATAACAACAAAGATTTCATGTCTCTGGAAAACAAGCGGAAGACATCCAGACGCGTTCATTTTGGCGGCGAGATTGTCAAACTGAGGACACCTGATAGCGACGAAACGGAATCCATCGAGGTAGACACACCTAAAACGAGGATCCCACTTCCCGTTTCGCCGGCTACGAAGATGCCGGAAACGATGAGGAGACGACCATCGTCGCAACCCTGTAGTCCTCACGCTGAGAAGCGGTGTCCGAAGAGAGCTTCCAGATCAGCCTCTAACAGCCCTAAGAGAGAGTATACGCACAATGCACAGCTGAGTCCTAAAAAAAGCATTCTCACAAGAACGGGAGGAGAACGAGATCCTCTTATCGTCATCGATCCCGCAATGGAAGAGAACGCGAAGAAAAATAGGAAGAGCGGCGAGGCGATCGTGGAAGACGAAGGATTTCGTGTAACAAACAGTTCGGAAGAAGTCAGCCAAGTAACAAAGAAGGAAGAAGTTACGTTGATTCGAGCCACTTCCGCGTCATTAGATAACAGAGAGAAATTAATAAAAAATAATGAAAGTAATGAAACAAAGGATGAGAACCACGTATTTAAAGTGACTGAGCTTTTAGCCGCGGAACCTTCAAAAAACACGTCTGTGAAAGAAAAACAAATGATTTATGAGAAACTCACGGATACGATCGACAAAACCAACATTTCCGAAATGTCTCTCTCGAGTCAGGAGAAAACTTACACACCGATCCAATTCATTCCAAGAGGACAAACGCTTAAAGAAGAAAATAGAGATGATATTTCGATAGTAGAAGAAGGACGTTCGAGCGAACAAAATCCAGTGAAAAGTAATTTTTCTTGCGAGTTTCCTTTCGGATCGCCAGTGAACGAGTGCAATACTCAAATAGATCGTTTTTTCGATAGTGATTTTGGTAACAACGACAGACAGGACGTATGTACTTTTAATGTGATAAAAGACGATCGCGTAACGACCACCGTAGCGGATTATTGTGACGGCAAAGTCGTTATTGGAGAGAGTAACTGCGAGGGACGAAAAGCAGCATATAGTCAGAGTGATATACAAGGCGCAATGATGGAAGGAAACGAAAGTGTTACTTGTAGCAGCAGTGAAGGCGAGGGTAAACCGCAGGAATCAAACTGGGAAGAATTAGGATTGGTTAGTCAGGAAGTGCTAGACGATCTGCACAATAAGGTTAGGATATTGAATTAATAATTTATTACATAAATTATTTTACATAAATTATTTTACGTAAATTATTTTACATAAATTATTTCACGTAAATTATTTTAAAACATTTTTTATTTTGAAATTAAATTATTTTATTCTGAAATTAAATTTTTATTCTGAAATTACATGTGTAATAGGTAAATTAGAAATGCAGAAAACATTTATATACGCATTTATTTAAATAAAAACCTAAACGAGCTGCGCAGAGTTGTAAAGCTTGTGTATGTAGCAATCTCTCTCGTTGAATTTATCTCTTTGTCATATCACAGGATTGGAAAAAGTCAAGAAGCCATGTTTCGCGAAGTCATGCTATTGTTTGCGTTGCTCGTGAAAGTTAGCTCAAAAACATTCGCGAATATTTCTGTCAGAACAAGATAATATCCTTCGTCCTGTTTTCGATGACATACAGAAGAAGACCCTTGACTTTCGGACAAAGCCGTCAGCTCGTTATATATTGGGTATGGTGAGAAGTAGGTCGATCGATTTTCGTCGACAAAAGTTCGTCGCGTGACGTAACACGATTTAAGCTCCATCAATTATCGGGATTACGTGTGCGCGTCTACAGGTTCAACGTAAATTTTTCCCTTCTTTTTCTTCCTTGCTTGTTTTTTTAAATTTCATGTATAAAGCACCTACTTTTGGTACATACGATGTCTCATACCAATGTAGCACATATCGCATGTGAAAGTCATTATATGTAACGTGTACTATAGATAAATGCGCGCATATGCGTAACTCGGAATGCAGCCATAGTTATTGCAAATTGCAACTTCATGCAGTAATTAGTGTACCGATCGGTTCTTGTTAATCCACGGACGTTGCGTAGTCATAATAAATATCCGGCGAGTAGTCAAAGAGTTCGAAGTCGAGTTTCAACTTCTCGTACAACTTTCTCACCGTCGATTTATTTAACTGACTGAAATATATTGGAAAGGCGTTGACGTAACCATTATTGTGCCTCCACCTGGGCTTAATTTTGTGTTGCAGACCTAACTTGTTGATTGCGTACACCTGATCTCGCCATAATGTTTCCACCTGTGAGATTAGTTATGTTCTCAGAAAGTTTAATTATTCAATTTAATATAATTAGATTGTTTAAAAAATTCAGCAATTGTAGAATTGTTGAATAATGATGAGTTATGCATTAAAATTTTGTTCCATTTATTAATTGATAAAAGAAAAACTTACAATAAAACATCACGATAAACAATAAATTGCAAATGTAACTTAAGTTTCAATACTCACTTTTGCAATAATGTCATATTTAACGAGGCACGGCGTGCAGAAGAGATAATACGGCATCCAATGATCGTCACCGTAATTTCCGAGGTCAGTGTCGATCACGTAATCAACGAACTCTCGAAAGGTCGGTTCCATGCCAGACGGAAGTAGCATCCCTTTGCGTCGAATCACCTGATCCGGTCGTGGTTTTTTAAAATTTTTTCCTAAAAATTCTTTCTTTATATTTTCGTATTTTTTCGATAAAATATTTCTTATCAAACAATAATTTGTAATAAAGATATATCTTTTAACAATTAATGAAGAATTTAGGCTCCTTAAGTTAAAATTAACAACACGAAATTTAAACGGTCATGGAAGCCTTAGAGCCAGTCTACGATAAAGGTAGTAAGGCTGTAGGTGTAGAGAGTAAACTAGTTTTCGGTGAAATAACAACGGGAATAACGAAATGAGCATTTCCCATTTCAAACTATTGTACCTATTGCCTTACTATCAGCAAATGAAAGACGCGTGTTAAAAAACGCGAAATAATTACTTGTATGTAATAATTACTTGTGTATAATAATTACTTGTATAGACAAAAATGAAATAACTCCAAGAACCTTACTTCTTACTCTTTACTGCCTACTTCCATTGTAGATGGCTCTTTACGCTAGATGTTTGTTGCGGAATAAATATAAATATAAATATAAATATATATATATTTATTCCGCAACAAATATCTAGCATAAGACTTCCATGACTGTTTATATATCTTTCAAGTAACCTAAATTTTCTAAATATCGGCCGCATTGATAGTTAAAGCGGAAAGAAGACTGAAAGCGGCCATCCTATTGTAGTTTCTTACGATGGTTTTAGTCGCTGGTTTTAGCGCCATATCCACAAAAGTGGATATCAAAGGCCGTTCTACATTAAACGCAAATCACAGGTCTCGTGGAATTGACTAATCGCATAGTCAAATCAGCCAATCGACCAACGTGATTGATCAATTCTATGAGACCTGCGACTTGCGTTTAATGTAGAACGGCCTTTGAGATCCACTTTTGTAGATATGGCGCTAAAACCAACAGTTAAAACCGTCGTAAGAAACTACAATAGGATGGCCGCTCTCATAGGTTTCTCTCTGATTGAAAGTAAAAAAATAAAAAAAGAAAAAGAAAAAAAGTGCGCGGTCAGATGCGCGAATTTTTAAACACATGGATAATTTCAATTCGATTAGGTCAGATTGAAAAATCTTTTTACTGTGCTTTGCAAAAAGTGTCAAAAAATTCTGTTAATTAACCGTTTTTTCTAAAATTAATATTATTAAAAAATGGTTAACGTTATAATATAATAATTACGGCATTCTTTTTCTCTGGCGACTTACGGCGGTACTTTCGGACGATCTTAACTCCATATTTTCGATAAAAATGGAGCGTCCCATATTCGCGGCCAGCTACTGAATTCTCCAGTTTGTCGCGATAGGCACTCAATAATCTTTCGAACGGATGCCGCACGACCAACAGCTTTTTGCTCGCGTTCAAGACCCGATCAGCTTCGGGATATTCGAGTTCCGGTATCGCTCGCCGAGCGATGCTCGATAACTGCTTCTTGCCGCTATTCAATGTCTTCTCAGACACGTTCATTAATAAACAAAGATTATAAAGCCAGGTTGTGCTGCCGGCTTTATACACTGGGCAATATGACACGTTGTACGCTCTGCGCAAGAATTATTATTTTATTGACGAGAGAATTTGATTAGATCTTTTATCGATCGTCAGTAATCGATTAAAAAAAATTTTTTTATACTAACCTAACCATGTAGAAGGCGGCGTACTGCGGTGCGGGTGGATGTTTGAACGGCAAATCTTCGGTAAACTTTTGATAGAAACCTAAATGATACTTTTTGCACACTCTATCGACATTTAGAACTCGCCACGTGTTATCTGTCTCTGCCTCGATCTGAGATGATTAATTCAAAAATATAAAAAAAAGTTACAAATGTTGTTCTAATTTCTCGATTATCGAGTTATAATGTGTGTTCTTTATATTATTGCCATATAATTAATAAATACAATTAATAACAATTTGTAATCAAACGCGTCAATTAACTCACCAGCAGCTTTTGTAACTCGTTAGCAACGAGGAGAGACTCACTCTCATCTCCGATAACGACGAGACAACATTTTAGTGCGAAGAAGAAAATTCCAAGACTGACGGTGATTTGAAGTACTCGGAAAAGTACACGTTTCTGCTGTCGTAACATAATCGTGATGACAAGACCTTGCTAAATCTGTTGTTTTTGCGGATTCTCAATATATATAAAAAAATCGCTCATGCAATGTGTGTATTTTCACTTGTAATACCAGATTTTTCTAAATACCACGAAGTAAACATTCTCTCTGTATCTGCTAAGGCGCTGACTGACCGGTTTCGTGCATCGACAGTGATGGATCTAGAATGCCTTTAACCCTGAGCAATCATCGATACTACGCGATAACCATAAAATAATTCTACAACATAAACGCGCAGTCATTTCTTACGATTACTTATCAGCAAAGCTATTAAAAAAAAAAAAACCAAAAAACCAAGCTGCATTTATTATATTTGTATAAAATATGCTACCTTAATATTGTAATATCTACAATTGAATTTTTTCTGAAGTTTTTAACACATAATTTTATTTAATTCTACACAAAACTATATAGGAGTAATATTTAACTTATACTTTCAAAAACCTTGAATAAAAAGTGACGAAAGATACAAGGTTTTAAATCGATTCGACATTGACAAATAAATCCACTCCTGAGGTTTGCGTGGGGAACGTTACGGCTGAAGAAGCTCCGATCGTTCTCTGCATACTAATTCTGTTAGCTCAGCTGTTTAAAGAACGCTTCACTAGATAAAAGTTTCAAGCAACATGATATCTGTGAATTAAATAAAATCAATCGCCGATATGCTTATGAAAAAATTAATTCCACAGTTAATAGAAATCGATCGTCTTTAAATCTGCGAAGAATGCTCGTATTGTTAATGTATGTAGATATTACATACACCGAAAGTTTCAGCAAACAATCGCTGTTGTCGCAGGTGCGCTTTATGTTTATTCAACGAGCTTCAAGATTGCTGTACTAGACCTTATGAATGCACGTGCAACCTCGTCAACGCGTGTCTGCGAGAAGTTCGCGGAAATAAATACCGATCGATCCATAGACAGAATGGCATTCGCCGCATACAATCGTGGGAAACAGGAAAATCCATATTTCTAGACCGTAACGTTTTGCAACAACGTGTTGCATAATTAATCCGCGATCACCTGTAAAGTTTCATTTTGCCGTGACTTTCTCAGACAAAATCGATTATTCACTTAGCAACAAATGGATGGAAATTCCACATTCAGTGCAAAAAGAAAAACAGATTTTGTATGCTTTATAGTAATTTACTTAAGATAAGATGTGATAAATAATAACAGGTCGCAGAACGCGTTCATCATCAAATAGTCAAATTATTACGTCGGCTTTTTTCACGCGCGCGGAAAATGGATTTTGTGCACGCGTATGTACATAGTCATGTAATACGTTACCGTAGCGGCGGACGGTGATACCTACCTACTGGCGCCCGTATATGAATATTCCACGGGTGAAAAACATCGGGAGATTTTCCAGGTTGGATTGTTATATCGCGGTACAATAAGCAGGAGAAACACGCGGTAAGCCACAAGAAAATAATTAGGCACGTGTTGCGTGCTACGTCAGTCGGGTCCAGGAAAACGCCTTTCTTTCTGTGTATATGCAAATCAGCGGCAATTGCACCGCCGTTTATCGTCACTGTGGCTCAAATCGTAATTTTCTAACTGTTCTTCATCATAACGCAAAATAGATGAAATTGGCGAACATGTATCTCTCGATCTATCATGTTAAAATATATTCTAGAAATATTAAAGCGCAGACGTATAAGAATACATATTTGTAAATTTATGAAGCAATCTTCCCATTGGTGAGATAAATATTAAAAAACACGCGAATGTCTGCATATCGATTCCGCAGTTATAGAACTCGATAGAAATGCGTGGTGAAAATGCAGATGCACTGCCGCCGCCGCCCGATGCATTCAGTTTTGCTGCAACGATCAATAACGACTCATGAATTTTCAGTAACACCACGATCATTCACTTGCAATCGGATGCTCTAGATAAAGAATCTTTTTATTGATATTTTGTATGATTTCTGATATATGAATCAATGACGAAATAAAAACAAACCACAAATTAAAATTGATAAAAGAAATCAATACACACAGACAATTTCAGATGAGCGTACACGATAACAATAATGTTTCATGGAACTTAAATTCTTATGTTTCTTTTGAATAATATTTGACATCGGATATCATCATACCCGTTTTTTTGTGACTTTTCAGGATGATTGGCGAGCGCGTGTGAGAGGGTTGGAGAGAGTCGCGTCTGCTCTGCGAACGTCCTCAGCGCTAATCGCGATAGAGTCGCGATTAGGATCGCTTTTGCATGCGGTACTTGGCGGCGAAAGGAGCTGTCGCGTGGCTGCCGCCGGTCTGGCGGTAGCGAAGGTAAGCTCATAACTTCTCAAGATCGCCTTTAAACGCGAAATCTCGGCTAATTTATCGCTACTTTATCTACAGTCTACAAGATAATGCCGAGCCTTGTTATTATGCAATATATCGCGCGACATATGTATAATAGATGAAATGTATTTATTTATCATTAAAATGTAACAAGGACGCTTTACGACACATTATTCCACATTACTTTTTAGCAGTTTAGAGTTAAAATGATAAAAGAGTTAAAAATTTTATGAATTAAATTATTTTAAATTTCTGCGCAATTTTGTTTTCTTGGTCGTTTAAAAATAGATCATCGATGTTTGTGTCAGTGTTTAACGTTTGCTCGAATTACAACATTGAAACGCAAGTTGCAAGGACACTTATAACATGTACCTTCTGCGAGTTGCGTAAAAAATACTTTTAACATGACAGAAAGAGAATGTATTTTGCAACTCTTTTATAATGTCAAAGAGACTTATGACGCAGTATAGTGCACTATAAATCGAACTCTACCACAGTTGCAGCTTTTATATGAATTTCTTAGGAACTATTATATTTATGTTTCAGGTGATCGTTACTGGTGTTTCGGAAGACGCGCTGAAGAAAAAGTTACCTCAGCTAGCTTGGGGTCTAGCCAGACAAGGTGGTCCAGCCGCGGCGCAGTTAGCAAGGATTGCGATGCTCAGGCTCAAACCTAGCTTGCTCTTGGAGCAATTTCTGCAGCCTCATTGTCTGAATGCAAGAAACGCCAAGGTAATTTAATTTTATATTAACTGAGAAAACGTGTCTTATGAAAGTCTTTTTGTAGACGAGAGAAAACACGCTGCAATTGCTGATTTTCTCATTGGTGACCTTTCCGAGTACGGAATTCAAGCTGCAAACTGTAGCTAACCATGTGACGACGATGATCATGGATCGGCGACGCAGAGTACGCCAAGCTGCACTCGACACTCTTGCAGTTTTAGGACAGATTTACAATTCCGAGGTACTTCCCAAAAATTATTAAAGAAATTAATTTAATTAATTGTAATATTTCAAAAACAGCAGACGTCATCTAGTGGTTTATATCAATGTTCGCAGGAAGTCTTGGAAGCAGGAAAACGGGCGGCGGAAGGATGTACCGACGGTGAGGCAATGTTGGCCGCCATCAGAGCACGGCTGGCCCGGAAGTCGCTGCCGCTGGTATCGGTCGACGGTCTCGTGGTGTACGGTTTGCAAATTTCACCGACTGTTCAGATCGCTACTGGTAATAACAACCAGGCATAAGCGAGCAAAGCTTAAAGCACCTCTGCAGATATAAAGAATGATATTCTTGTTAATTGTACATTAACATGCGATTTTATTATACTGAAATTTGTGTCAAAATTATAATTATACGATCAAAGAAATTTTTTTCTATTAGTACTTCTTACATCAAAAAAAAAAAAAAAAGATGTGGAATATCTCAAATTATCGTCAGTATTACATGTCAATTTTTTTATAACTACTTTCGAGAAAATCACGTAATTCTTGCGGATGTTTAAGAGACATTTGAAAACAGCCTTGTATTTGAAATTATATATTGCAATATCGCGTGATGTTTTCGTGTAGTATGATATTACGTGGCTATCTGCACATGTATCATAAAGAGTTTGTTTTTCTTTTACTATTTCTTTCTTTTCCCAAGAGAAATATGAGTTTACGTTTGTTTTATTTCAAGTGCACGATTTAAACAACATAAAGTTGAAAATAAAATACTCAGGTATTGATCTAAAGATGTACAATTTAAAAAAAAAAACTTACAGGTCCTGATGTTGATTGGATCGTAGCAGGAAGCGGTTCGGTTTCACCTGGCACTGGTCGTACCAGAGGTCAGATCATTGCCACGTCCAGATCTGCACAAGGAAAAGTATCTAGGTATTCGCGAAAGGATTTATTTCAAACTATATGGTTATCATGAGATTATAAATATTCGCTTCTTTTAGGAATGAAATTAACAACCGTGAAAGTCCGTGGATAGAGAGATCTAATCTCGTTGCGCTTGGCGTTGGCTTACAATCCAAGACTGAACAATCGATGGCCTGGCAGATATTGTCTTCGCAGACCAATGTAAAAATAAATTGTACTTTTTTGTGTGATGGTTTACATTTTTACAAAAGAAGTAGAAAGTGATAAAAAAAAATATATTTTTATTAATTAAATAAATTTCTGATATAACATTAACGTAATGAAAACAAAATAACAACTAGTATATCATCTTCAGAAATTCATACACCATACTGTGTTATTAGTGTTCTGGTTTTATAAAACAATTGTTTATAATCTTGACAAAATATAAGGATGTAATAACGCGTACAAATCTTATATCGTGCCAATATATAGATACATTTACTTGTAGAACTTAACTGTAATATATATATA